GTTAGTAAACACAATGATTCTAGAGTGGTAGAACCTTTACAAAGGTTCTAATAGTTTAAGGGTCTTAGGAATCTGTTAGAGTAAATCTCTGAAGGGATTAACATTGTAATAACTGATTAGGTAAAGCTCTAAAGTGAATCCAGAGCTGATTAAGTAAATTAATATAGGAAAGTCTACCAGGTAGGATATAAATTAATAGAGAATTAGGGAAGAGTTGAAAACAATGTTAGTAGTGCTCTATAGGCTGTAACAGTAGTAGAAGAGTGTACAAGTAGGGGTGAGAAGATAAGAAGGGAGAATAAGTAGGTAGTTAGTAGAGATAAGGGTTTTGTAAGAGATGTAGGTTTGTAAAAGGAAATAAGGTTTTAGAAAGTTACTATAGTACACTATAGGCTTGAGTAATAGTAGAGTAATACAGTAGGGTCTAGTTGTTGTGTAGTAGTCAAGGTAGAGTCTAGTTCCTAATGTTAGTAACAGTTAAGGCTAGAGGAAGGAGACTAGAACACAATAAGTAAGTAGGGAGAGGAGAGGCAAGCTAGTATAGACTAGGAACTAGACTAGGGTACATACAAGTATCTCTCAAGGTATATATATGAAAGGGGAAGGAATAGACTATACTATATAAGGAAGGGAAAGTACAAGCAAGAGGAAAGGGTTAAAAGAATTAGTAAGTTGAATAAACAAGGGGGAGAGTTTTAAAAGAGTAAGTAAACAGAAGAAGGGTAGAAGGGGAATATTAGGAAGAGAAGGGGCTAAGGTCTGAAGAGTCTAAGAAGGGGTAGGGTCTTCTACAGGTTGAAAGAGTCTGAAAGAGTGTGTAAAGTATGTAAAGAGTAGGAATTATAATACTTATACTAAACACTTTAATTTACAAAAAGACTTTATATAATGTTACATTCAAAATGATTACATTAATGTATACTATGTCTAATTGTAGAACCAATTAGCAGACATTCTTACAAAAGCTCTCTACATCCTACAGATTAAGCATCTAATCAAACTATTAGGTATACAGTCTTAGTTCTTAATTAATGCTTGAAGGAGAGTATTAGATTATACTCTAGATTAGGAAATCCCTAATTACCTAATGTAGTGTTACTATACTTAGAATGTCTCAGACTATCAGACTTTACTATATAGTATATAAGACAGACACTTACTTAATGTCTCAATAAGAGAGAGTTTAAGAGTGCTCCTACTATACTTGTTAAAATAAACAATTAAAATATTACTTAAAAACATGACAAAATACAATAATATGAATATAAAACAAAACAACTAATACTATGAAACATTAGAGCCTAACATCAGATAGTCTAAAGGGCCAAGTAACAGAAAGAACACTGTCACCAAGTACACAAAAGACAAACAAATGTTAGAACAAAACCAAAAGAAACAAACATAACTTTGAAACTTGATCAGATACTTTACTAATGATTAAACACAATGTGTGACAAATTTAATAGATTACTATAAACAGCAGAAAGATAGAATTCACAAAGAATATATCTATAATCAATACATAAAGGATATTAATAACTATTCAAAGTTCAGACAATATTATAACAGTGTATTCTTTATTAACAGCCTTACTTAAGCTTACACTTATCACTAAAAGAATAAAATTAATAAACAGAACAGAAACAAGACACTATAGCTCAAATACTTTGTCATTAAACAGAAGACAAATGATACTGAGTAAATAGAAATAATGCATCTTAATGTATACATATATAATAGACAAAATATGCAAACTTAACCTTGTTAAAACAATACAATAGATTATATTTATCCAAATAACAAACTATTCAGACATACACATAATAATCAAGTGAAATACACAAGCATACATACAATTTATTTGAGTATAAACTCGAATAACAATCAGTACAATGTTCAAAAGATTTAATAGGACAAAGATAACAAATAACATTAAAATTATTGAACAAAACACATTCATACATTTATACACAACACTTAAACAAATAATGAAATGATGAAAACACATAAACAAATTGATTACATACACACAAAAGCTAATTGCTTAAAGTAAACCTTCTTGAATTGAAGGGGAGTAATAATAGTATATATTCACAAAACAAACAATTAAAACATAGTAAACAATTAAATGATGCAGAAATATTAACTATGTTACTATTTAATCTTACACATTCTACAAAACACAAATACAAAGTTATTACAACAAATTTGAAGCAAATCTGTTGAATCTGACAAGTGAATCTAACAAATCCAACAATAAAATACTTATACAAGAGACACTTTCTCTAGAATCTTTAATGGTCATACTATACATAGTACTATTGAATGTATTATAAACAAATATATTACAGAGTATATACCTAAACACAAAGAAGTATACTATATACAAAGATGTTGAGCAGAAAAGCATCTCTAGTATATAACAAACTATACAGAAATATCAAACAGAACTATACTTTCCACAACAGAACATATATTATATTAAAAATAACAATTACACATTATACAAAACTTACAATACTTATTCCCTAACATACAGAACATAATAGTGAACAAATAACTAAGTAAACAAAATAATATTCAGACATATAACTGGGAAACAATTCAGGCAAGCCAAAGAATAGTACATATTCCTAAAGCAATCTATACTAGATGTACAAAGTACTTGCTAAAATTAAAAGAAGCAACAGAAATAATGGTGATCAAAACATTAATCCTTTTGAATAAAACAAGATAATGTTAATCATAATGAACAAAAATGAGTAATACACTCAAATTAAACAAAATAAATTCATATTTCATAACAAACACACACATATATTTAGTAAATAAAGCAAATATAATGATTAAAACAATATCAAACAGAATTTGATACAAAATAAACAATAAATGAACAAATATTACAATATACAATGAAAAATAGAACTGTGAAATACACTATTTCATCTATCTACAAAATAAAAACAACAAACACATATTATAATTGTACAAAGCAATATATTAATCAAATAACATTATGTAACAATAATAAAAACATTATTACAACAATAAAACAATACAATACAAATAACATTATAGTTTGTAAAGTTGAAGGACACATTAATTAATAACAAATGTAATACACACATATATTAATATTAAATATATCTATTACAAAACAGTAAAACAATACAAATGTACTATATGTTTAAAACATAAATAATGTGCCTAAACAGACTTACAAACAGTCAGATGATAAAACAAAACAAATTACAATGAATAAAACCTTAATCAACCTTAATATAAAGTAATCTGACATATTATAAATAATATTACAAATTGCAAACAATACAATACTTTAATATGAAGGTATAGAACTACTATTAAATGCTTAAAAAGGCATGAATACAAAACAAACACAAACAAAGATGATACATAATGAATAGAGGACATTATAATAACATTAACAGTACATTTTACAAGTATGATTCAACAGTTTTATTGTGAAAGTAAAAGTGGAAAAACTACTAGTAACACAATTCAAATGTGCAAAAATACAAATTAATAAGAACAAATTAATAACACACACATTGTTATTAAATATAGTATTAACTATACAAACAAAACAATACAAACAAAGTACAATTCTAATTACACATTAAGTATAAGGATACAAAATGAACTACATGTATAATAATACAAATACAAACAGAACAAATAACAGAACTACTACAGAACAATACAGTATAATAAAATAAACATACTATAACACAAAACAAACAATATAATATGAAAAACAAACAAAACAAAGTTATATTATATTATATTATATTGTGAACAAGAAAAATACTATTATACAAATGATAAAACATTATAGTGACACTATAACATTAATAATAATAAAACTACAAATGAACAAACACTAAAGAGATTCTACAGCTCTCTTAACAATAAAAAAAAATGGAACTTACAATCAATTTATTACATCAAACATAATAATACATTATTAAACAAAGATAACACTTACAGTAGACTTAATATATGAAGCAAACAAACACTTACATTGTGAATGTAAATAATATTAGTAAAAACAACAGACAAACACTTATCAAACATTATATTAGCCTGATCAACTAGTATAAGTTTAAAGGGGAGTGTTAACATTTACTTTGAATAAATGTGTCTAATGTCTTCCTATATACATATATGTATCATATAATGTAGAACTGTCTCATTACTATGTGTTATTACACTAAGACATTAACTAAGACATATATCTGAGACATACAATATAGAATAGTATATATAATACATTAATCTAAGAATAATGAAGCTCATATACAATGAATTACAAACTACACAGTCAACTTGTATTAACACCTACACACTATAAGTAGAGTCTACTGAACCCCTACTTGTGTGACTTACTTTTAGGGAAACATTACAACCTTAAAATGCTAACAATTTTATTATCTATTTATTACTGATTTTATTAGTGATTATACAGTTAGACTCATAAGTATACATATTCTCTTTTTAGCTAGTTAGTATTTACTTCTTATGTACTTACACATGTATCACCCTATTAAAAACAGTCTCTAACACTAGGTAAAGGGGATTCTTTTCCCCTGACCCTTTACTCAAGTACTAAGTTATTCTAGTCAGTAGTTGAGTGGATTAAGGGTAATTAGAATTCTTTTGTAAGGAACAGTAAGTTTTCTTACATACTCTTACTTGTTCTCTTAGTATAAATCCTAGTTAGTAGCTTTGAGAATATAGTTGAATCAGGGCTGTAAGTCTACATTCACAGTTTGAGAGTACTATCAACCTAGAGAACACATCTCTCCTAATACATTCCTAATATAAACATGTAGAATTGATAAAGAAAATTCCTATTTACTTGAGTTTTTACTGTTTTGACTTAGATATATTAGAGTATGTAAAACACAAGCTTGACAATACTTATGAAAAAGGCAGTAATGCTTTCTGTATTAGCTCAGACGACTGTCATGCATCTTTACTGTTACTACAATTACACAAATGATTTTTTAAAATTTACCACATTAATCAATAGAACTGAAACAACATTAATCAATAGAACTGAAACAACAATCATATAGTACTGATTAACATGAGTGAACAAAGGTGAACATACTAATAAACATCCGTCCTCGAGACATCTTGCCTTCACAGCACTCCTACACGTGGGTCGGTACATTCGGAGAAAAATCCGATTCGAGGATATGGTGGGAGTAGTCGCTATGGTACGGTGTTCGGTGCTAGTCGACGCACCACTGTCTGTGCGGCGGCCAGAGAACGCAGCAGCTTTCTCAGTTATCTACTTGAGTTTCTTCTTTTTATTGGACAGGGTGGTCTCTGCATGACGCTTCGTGGCAACATTCAGCGGATCCCCGGCGATCGGCAGAGAGAAGTGGTCATCCGGAAGATCTGGTGGGAACCCCTGATTCTTCAGTGCGAAGAACAAATTTTGCGCCTCCTCATTCATTACGCCGGAGTATTCAGTCACCGCCCTCTCAACTCGTTCATACCACTGATTGCGTGTTTCTTCAAGCATGTGTGCCGCTTCGTTACCTGCTTGTCTAATAACATTGCTGTGGGTGACGAGAAGCTTTTGGACCGCGTCTTCTTGCCTCAGGATAGCGATACCACGTTGCAAAAAAAACATCACTCGCTTCGTGTGATTAAGTTCTGCCTCGATCTCGGCAAGGCGCATTTGTTGTCGCGCGATTGCTAGTGTGGTATTCTCGATTTGAACGCGGTTGTTTTGTCGTGACTCGATTAGTTCCAGCTGGTGCTCGGTTGGGTTTTCAGGATCCTACACGACGTCGTTAGCAAATGTATTTGAAAGGGGGGAGATAAAAAAAGATCATAAACATTTTCACCAATCGTATCGTTGACAAGCTTAACATGTCCTTCTGCGAGCCGTATAGATGAGCTGAATGTTTCGATAATTGAACCAGTGTCTTGGTATGCCTTGTTCTGTTCCGCCTGGATGTTAATGATATTCTTTAGTTGGATTTCCACGTCAGCACCGAAGTCGCATAACGCTGCATAAGTGATTTCAACGTCGTCGACGTCAGCCGCGTTGTAGTCAGACCTAATACGAGCCCAGAACTGGACCTCCCTCACGTCGCCGTTTTTGTCCAAAAGCTTGCGGAGGTCCCGCACGATGACACGAAAGCTGGGGGTCGAAGGACTCATACCTAAAAGCTTGAATTGTGCGTACGCGTCGAACAGGCATAGGCACCCTTTATCGACGAGACACCGGAGAGCGATCTTGTGAACCTGTTTCTCATCCTGCGGAGCACGGTCAGCAAAATCGCGGAGCATATCACTACAGACTTACCTCTAATAAAAGATATATCATAATGTCCTTCACCGCGCCTTTTGTCTTCACGATTGTCTCATCCTGCCCCTCGAACTTCTTCCATGTCAAAATTTGGAGCTCAATCATTGAGAAGGAAAACTCGAAGAGGTCCTTCGCAAGTCCAACTAAATCGTCTTCATCTTCTTCAAGCAGTGATACCTTCATCCGCAGCAACATGGTTCGAATGCGATCCTTTCCTTTGCAGACGAGTGGATCTGTCAAGACTGTCGTCAGTAATTTGAACGAGACGTTCACAAGACACACACCGTCGTCTTCCCGATCTTTCACATCGCGCAGCAAGTCCTCCACTTGAATCTGATAGCGCTCGACTTCTGTCATATCTTGAGATTTAGGACCCATCTCGCAGAAGGTGGCAAAGTCGATGGTCAGGTGGTGATTGAGGTTGTAATGAAAGGGGACAAGGGTTCGGCAGGACTCTTGACTTTTCGCATCCGGACCCCACGGCCCAAAACGGGATGACCCTGATTATGTAAAGTTGGGAAAACATAAACTCAACCAACCTGTCACATCAGTCACAGCACAGCCACTTTCCCCATTAAGAAGGACCCTGATGGCAAAAATCGTGAGGTTAGACTGTAACATTTTGTTTAACATTTTTGAGTACAAGTACATAGACAAAATACAAATATAAACTATAGATGTACTGTCTCTAAATCTGTTATAAGACTGTTTAGAAGTACTCTGTGACTCTTATACTTTTTACATGCCTACTAAGCTTGAACCTCTATAAGTCCTTTCTTGTATACATTAATAAACCAGGCAGATTAATTAGCAAACCTGTAAAGTATTATAGGAAAGTTACAATTAGTAAATATAGTAAAAATATACTTACTTTTGAAATAATTCAAGAGGAATTGAGTTAAGACACAATTTAATATAAGACTCTATTTGATTCTTATTATTTGAGTAAGGTATCATCTGGTAGTAATATTTTGTATTACTCTAACACTGTTTAATAAAGTTCAGTTTATAGTAAAATTTTGGATAAAACAAAACCTTGTATTTATGTCCTTCAACTAACTCCTTAATAACTGACTTTTATACTAAAAAGTTAGACTGGTTAAACAGAATTTATTAACAGTAACATATGAATGTGACTAATTTGTTAGTACATTTGAATCTGTTACATTATTAGGAAAACCAAAAAAACCTATATTTATATAGTAACTTAAAGTTGTGTATAATATTAAATAACTGTATTATTAATAGTATAGTAACTGTATAAATGTATAATACTATATAGTATAGTAAACTATAGTATAATAGTATAATAGTATTATAATAACATATATTACTTAATAACTGTGTTTAAGAGTAGAATAATAGTATTGTAAATATATAATTCTAAAAATCAGTTATAGAGTAGTATACAATTATTAACATATTCTAATAGTAAAATAGTAGAAACAGTACTAGGAAAGTGCTAAACACTGTTGTGAATGAGTTCTGGGTTTGTAATAGTATACAATAGCTAACAAGACAAAGGTATCTTTGTTATTGTTAGGAATAAGGACTAATACATGTATAAGTAAGAGCTTACCTTTATTACTGTCAGGAATAAGAACTAATACAACAAAAGTGAAAGATACAAACTATATATATTAAAAATAAAAGAAAGGTGGTTTACACTTAAAGGGGAAAACAAAAGGAAACAGTATACATTTAAGAATGAAAGGAAAGTAGCTTTAATAAAAGGGGAACTTAATACAAGTATAAAAGAGAATGTGTGTAGCTTAATAGGTTACAGAAAGAATCTGTATTTAGGAAATACAGTTCTAGACTAGAACAAGTACAGAACTGTACAGAAACTGTTGTAAACTATAGAGTTGTAAGCCTACCCTACAGCTTACAACAGTTTCTGTACTGTTCTGTACCTCTCCTAGTGTAGAACCACATTTCCAAACTCAGACCTTCTTTCAAGCCTAGACCTTCTTAGTATGAACCCTAGAGTCACACACATTTCCTCTTTTGTCTTCACACTATGTTTCCTTATTGTCTGAGTTACATACTCTTCATTCTTAGAGTGTATACACTCCCCTTTTTATTTTTGTATTGTTTTCCCCTTTAAGTATAAGCTACCTTTGTTTTATTTCTAGTATATATAGTTTCAATCTTTCACCTTTATTACACCAGTTCTTATTCCTGACTGTAATAAAGATACTTTTGTCCTGTCAGTGTTCTGTGTATGTTAGCAAACTTAGAACTTAACAGAACTTGTTTATAATAGTATTTAGTACTTCCCTAGTACTATTCTACTTTTTTTTTAACATTGACAAAGTAGTCTTTATTGTACTATATGTTAGTAAGGTTCTTCAGACCTTCCTGAATGTCTCCTACTGTTAGTAAGGTTCCTCCAGCCTTCCTAAACACTCTCTACTGTTAGTAAGACTCTCTAGCCTTTCTAAACACACTACTATAGTCTTAAAGCAAGTTTGACTCTCTTCCTAACTGTATATAACTAGGTCTTGTTTCCTCTAACACTAGGTATCTTTAGAAGCTACTACAGTTACCTCTCTGTTAACTAGAGAAGCTGTATTTACTTCTCCTACACTACTACTATTTATAGTAACCCTAAGTTCAGATTTAGTAAATAGCTCAGACCTCTCAGAACCAGAAAGTAATACTAGTAAGCTACCTACTAAAACAATTAGTATTATACTAAGAACCAAACATTATATACAGACAATCATAACAATCAATTCTGAACATTTACATAGTTTATAAAAGTGTCTCCTAAGAACATCTAACTTTTCTGTATTGTAAAACATTTGTAACTAGATTTGTAAATATGTACAGTCTTAGGATAGACTCACACAAGCTGCTCATATTACAGGATGTACAGATCATGTACATATTATAGGCTCAGAACACAAGTTGTGTCACAGTAGGTAGTTCAGCAAACTATTATGTTATTATTGCTCAGATCAAAGTACTACAATTGTCTAATTAGATAGGACATTAGGGCAATTGAACAAGAATCTTAGAAGACTACTAGAATCTTAGAATTCTCTACACTTTGTCTGTACTAATCAAATAGTGACAGTATACAAACCTTCTACTTCTTTCAATTTATTTCTTGCCTTTCTGTTTGTATAACATTTCCTATAGCTAGAATGCAGATTACTTAACATTCCTCATGAAATTTTTGCTCCATTTTGTTCTAACCTCTGACAAAAGGTTCTCTTACAGTATTTGACAAAAGTATTATACAGACCTAATCTATTAATTAAAAAAGATTATATACAGACAACTAAGAACTATAATTATGAGATATAAGTACTATTATTTACTGTATAATATAGCAAAAAAAATGAGTTAAAACAGTAGGACCCACAAGCACATATATTCTCATTGTAGTTAGTTACACTTTCTCCTTATGTATCTACACATGTATACTCTTATAAAAGACAGTATTAACTATTAGGTAAAAGGGATTCTTTTCCCCTGACCCCTTACTCAAGTACTAAGTTATCCCAGTCAGTAGTTGAGTGAACTAAGAGTGATTAGAATTCTCTTGTGAGGAACAGTGAGTTTCCTTACATTTATAAATGTTGAATTTGTGTAGACAGTCTGGTTTGGGTTTGACATAGTACAGGTTAGGGTTTTTAAGCAGTTTGTAATAGTTCTGGGAGACTGTCAATGTATTACAACCGAGTTTTTGTGCAATTTCAACATTACTCAACCCTTGACTCTTCCAGTCTAAGATATGTTGCTTTTTTGTTAGTGTAAGATATGGAGCCATTTCAGCAGATTCAGAGTAGTCTGAATTGAGCAAAAGACAGAGTATTATTGATAGTGATAGAGTACTAGTATAGTGTAATGTTTTACAGCATGGTACAACCAAAAAAAATGTACATGACCATTTGTACAATCTTGTAAGTTTTCTCCTATTTTAGAATATATATAGTTATTTCACAATAATCTAACACAATCAGCAATGTAGTAATAATAAAATACAAACCAGTAAATCAAATCCTTACACTTGCCCTCTAGCATTTAGTCCTAAATACTAAAAATCAGTAGAAAAGGTAGGGAACTTACTAAAAGTAACAGTTAGTAACAAGTAAATAATAAAATACCTTGCCCATGTGTATGGGAAACATTGTTGTAATGTAGTACTGCCTCTCTGAAGTGATCCAAAGTTGATCTGGTGAGTATTGAGACAGTGGTGGTATTCCAGACAGTGAGTAGCATGGTTCCAAACCATGTGAAACTAGATAAAACATTAATAGAATTAAACATAGTCAATATTACCATATAGTCAATTAGTAGGAAAGTTGCCTCTTGATTGTTACTATCAATACAACACTTTTCAAAGAGAATCGGTGGAGTTCCTGGGGAGATATAGTGTTTTAGCTCTTGAGTATTCTGAGACACACAGTGTAGATCAATATGTACAGAAGTGGAAATTCTGGCAGTATGGTAATTGCAAATATTCTCTTCTCCTGCATCTTTGGGAAGCATGGAGGTAAATCCCTGATCAACAAAGCTATAGCCTTCTTCCTTAATAGAATGTATTAGTGTTACAGCTTCTAGCTGACCTTGTGTGTTTCTCTACTCTTGTAGAATAGTAATGTAATAATAGATAGTAGAGATGTATTCCAAAATTCCTCTACTATGTCCTTGATTTTTCTAATAGACTAGTTCCTGCAAATGTAATGCCTTATGCTTGTATTAGTAGAATGTGTCCAAATGTGTACTCCTTTGTGTGCAATAACCAACTGTGATACAAAACTGAATATCCTGTTGAGCCTGATGTTTAGATACTAATTGTAGAGTGTAACATAGAGTGTAGTATCTGTCCTTGAATGAGAATATCATCTCAAACTTAATGAAATTGTAATGTATGAGCCTAATATCACTAGATATGTGTGTATATACACAGTATCTCTGTGTATGATGAATATCCTACTGTAGTTCTGTACTGGTTCCTTGTGTCTCAACTTGTTTGTTCCTTTGTAAGTCAATTGATTCAATTCCTGAATCATCTGAGTATACTTTCACTGTCTCATAGTACAATGTTCTATCATAATGTGTCCAAGTAGTGTTCTCTACTTTCCTGAGTGCTGTAACTGTCTGTATGCTACATTGTTCCATGTATGTCTTAATGAAATGTCCTGTCTGTATGCACAGTAGTACTGCCTGAAGTCCTGAGTGTATGCTGCCAATTCTCTGTTCATTTGGCAAATCCATGTGTGGATCAATACACTCTAGCATTGACTTCCTGTCTTTCTGTGTCCTTGTGCCAATGTATTCTTTCCTTGTGTACCTATCATGTGTCCTGTTTCCTGTAGTACTGATACTGTCTGGTCCTACAAAGTCCTTTGCAAAATTGTTTTGTAACAATCCATGTAAGAGAAATG